TTTGTCACAAAAAAATAATATATAAATTTATCACAAAAGTTTAATAAAAAATATTATTATTTCAATACTAATCAATTTTGATTAAAATTAATCAAGACTAATTAAAATTAATCAAGCCCGATTAAAATTAATCAAACCCAAACTAATCTAAAGTTTTATTGAGTTTCACATGTTTTATAATGTAAAAATTTATTTTCTTAAATATTTCTTATCGATGTGGGATATATTTATAGTGCAAAACCTTATTCTCTTATGTGTTTTTTTATCGATGTGGGATGTATTGATTAGAGAAAATTGAAAATTTTTAGTGATGAATTATTTAGTCATCATTGAATGTGTATGATATATGTGACCAATATTAGAATTTTCTCATAATTGTAATGCATTATAGTGATGATTTTTATTGACAAAAACTTATTTTATCTCTATGAACATTTTTCGGTGACGAAATATATTTTTTATGATGAATTTTTTTGTTCATTATTAAATATATATATATATCTGTGACTAATTTTTTAAATTTGTCACAATTGTGATAAGTTACAGTGATAATTTCAAATTTTATCACAAATTTCTCTCACTAAAAAGCATTTTTCTTGTAGTGGGAGGCTGCAATGCATTGCTTGCAAACCGCAAAGGCACAATTAATCTTAATTAACCACCTTGACAACAGAAAGCTACAATTATATATTATATATTTAAGCTATAAATTGAATAAATGGAAAGTGTAGGAATGTTCTTTGGCTAGTGTTGATTACAAAATCATTCCTGACATTATGATTATCCCTCCTTTTTATTTATTTCTTATATTTTCTACTCTGTATCCAAATAAAAGAAAGAGTATGGCAGTTATAACCTTATCCCATTTGCCTTGCTTCTTTACCTTCCTCGCATTTCCTTTGTATTATCTTTTTTTTAGGATGTTACATTTTCTTTTTCGATATTTGCAGTGGATAACCATTTTTCAAATTTTTACGTTAAAGAATGCGTGTGCAGGGGGCACATCAAAATCTGCCCCAAACTAATGGGAATTTCCAAGTACAAATTCAAACATGACCAAGATTTTTAAAATAGTTTTTCACTTTTCAAACCAACCTCACCTAATACAGGTAAGGAAATTTTCCCATCAGAAGCAAACCACCAATTTAATTTTATTATAGACCAAGAAAAATACTTGTTTGATGAGGAATTGCAAGTTTAATTTCTAACCTACTTTTGAACTCCCTGGTGCAAGTTTTCCCTGCCAGCCCCAGTTACAACCAGATGCCGTTCATCAAGAGAGAGTTGGATGTACCTTGCTCTGCCTTCTGATTTGCGTGTGACCAAAAGTAGATCTGTTGGTTCCCTGAAATGCTGTAAATGTAATTCATGCATTCCATTTTTAGTGAATCGTAAAGTTTTCACTCTAGTCCCAGGAATTTGGATCTCATTTTTAAGTTTGTATTAA